GGCAGGGCCTGTGTGGGTGTGGTGCCAGGGATTCAAAGCTTTTTCTTTTTTGTTATACTAGGGAATTGAACTCAGGACCTGGAGCTTGCCAGGCAGGAGCTTGTGCTGCTGAGCTATCTCCCTGGGCCAAGACCTGAATTAAACATTTTTAAGTGATTTGACTTGATTTCTAGTATTGGCTTATACTCTCAATTTCAATTTATGGGAAATAGAAACAGGAATCAACATGAGAAAATGAATAAGTGACAGAAAGAACATGGTGAGAGAAAGGACATACTATGTTCTTAGGCACCCAAAGGCCAGGGTGGCAAACCTCTTTGTTTAGTATATTCACTGTACTGTGTTCTGGCTTTTCCCTGCTACCTTTACTTAGTCATTTGATACCTTCTGTGAATGATAGAGGAGTTGATTCCTTATTTGATAATTAAAATGATAAGAGTAAAAAAAATATTGCTAGGGATTATAGCAACGACATAGAAAAAAAATCACATTACTTGGAGATTGGTAAACTTTAAAAAGAGAATTGAGCAAATAGTATTCATAGTAAAATATTCACAGTACAGAGTAAAGGTTTTAAATCTCACCATGTACATAATATGGTGATGCTTGAAATTATGTCTGTTTTCATAGTAAAACTAATCTGACCCAAGTATGAAAAGCGGGTATGTGGCAAGGGTGCTTTAAGTCAACGGTTGACTGAATTATTTCCAATGAACTTAGGTGTTCCTGGTTGGAAAGACTTGTTGACAGGGCTTGTTGATTGTTAAAGATTTGTGTCCAATGCACTGTGACCAATGTTTCAGGGCTCAGTAAACAGGAATAGGCAATAATAAAATCCTTTCATAACTACTCACACAGAAACATCCTATTTTTGTAAATGGAGGCACAAAAGTGAACACTGTGATTTATTGATCTTTTAAAAACTCACCAATGTATAATTGTTTTATGTTATACAAAAACTTTTTCCTAGTAAAACAACGGTGTAAGTTCTAAAAAGCACCAAGAAGCATAAGAAAAATATACTTTACAGCCATTTCTTCCCTGGCTGACATTAGTTTTATTGTTGGAAGAAAACCATTAGCAACAACCGCCGTAAGATGTACAGTTAGAATGGCAAATGAAAGATTTATTTTCTAAAACAATGAGACCTAAGTATTTCAGTACTGTACTCTAGTTGCTCCTTCTCAATTTGTACTTGTTAAAATGTTCATAACCTGCCAGCTTCGCGAAAGCTAAATAATGTTGGTTTAAAACAATCGTTGTATGTTAAGTCTGAAAGCATAGCTTTTGGTAAACAAAACAAAAAGAAAGAGCGTTAACTTTTTCGTGTGTCTGGTGAGCTTCTCCAAATTGTATAGCAAGACTTCTCTAAGCCTTTCTCTAAGCGGCGCTCAGCCAGGGAAACTGTACTAACGAATCTTCAGTTCGATGGTTTCCAAACTACTGCTGCTCTCTGCGCGGTCCGCGCTCCGATGCGGTTGCGTATACGTAAGCGCTTCCCGCTCTTATCGGTCGGGTTGAGACTTTTAACTGCCTTCTGGTTTCTAAATCCGCTTCCTACTCTGTCTGGTGCCCCCTGCTGCTCATCACCTGTGCAGCCCGGTGCACGGCAGTTACAAACTGCAAACGGGTGCGGGGAGCACCAGGATGGTTTGAAGGGAAGCATTTCCCGTACTGTGAATTGTACATTGGATCCAGATTTCCTGTGTCCAGAGTCTTGGTGTAAATTGTATACATACATGCGTGCAGTTCCGAGAGAGAGAGAGAGAGAGAGAGAGAGAGAGAGAGAGAGAGAGAGAGAGAGAGAGGGTTTTTGTTTTTCTAAGCTACTAAGCGAAAGAAAGATGGAAATGTAAGTTTCAACCGATTACAAAAGCAAAGGTCAACTCAGCCCTCTCAAGTTTAAGGTCAAAGCGGCGAACACGTTTATCTTTATCTTTCCTCGAATCCCCTTCTCCACCCCGTTCATTCTTTTCTTCGGGCAAAGCAAGACAAGCCTTGATTTCTGTAGGACAGCCCATCTTTGCATTCAGAATTTCTGTCTCGAGTCTAGAGCTGAGAACGTGGCCTTAATTGGTGCGCGCGCGCGCGTGTATGGGGGATGGAAGATAATGCTGCCTTAGTGCTCCTACCCTAACCCATCAAATCAATATTAATCTCATGCGCTATCTCCATAAAGTTTCCTACGAGTGGATGGCTCTTCAGACTCTCAGTTCTTCCCTCTGGCTTCGCCCTCCTCTCCTCCCTCACATCCCACTCGCTCAACACCACTGCGGCTCTCTCCTTTAAAGACCAATAACATCATTTTTCTTCGCAAGGCAATCGTCTTAGCAGAGCATGATGGGAGTCTCTCCTCTTCCTCACTCTTCCTTTCTCTTCTTTGCTTCATTCCCTTCTACCAAAATTAATCTCTAAGTAATGGTTTTCCTAGCGAGCATCGACTCCAGGATGGGCTTGAGGGACCCACGATGACGGTCCCATCAGGCTTCCAGAAGGGGCGGTTTGCAAAGAAAACCACAGTTCCCAGGAGGCGTCAAGATGAAGCAGCCGCAGAGCATCACGGAAGTCCTAGGCCCTTGTCTCCTCAGCCCCTTTCCCTCCTCCCTCCAGCAAACTACGAGTCCCAGGGTGCCTTGAGCCTGCTGCGCTTGCGCAGGAACTCAGCGCGCGGTGGGGGTGGAGCCGCCCGGGGCGCGGGGGGCGGGGTCCGAGCGGGCTGTGTGGAGGCTTCAGACTCCGGCGCCATTTAGCGCGGAGAGTTTCTCTGGCGGGCGCGGCTCTTCTTCGTCGGCCACTCAACCCCACCATCTTCGGTGACAGAAGGCGCCTGTTGGGGTGACTGCTCTTTTCTCCTCCCACCCCACCCTCGAATCCTCTGGGTCTCTCTCCTTTGGTCCGAAGAGGCCACCGAGCCGGGGCCCGCGGAGAGCGGCCCTCCCCTCCCCACCGTTCCTCCCTCCCTCAGCCCCGGCGCCGGCCCGGAGGGACGAGGTTCGCCAGGCCCGGGGCGGGCGGGAGGCCGCGGGGAAGGGGGGGCCGCTCCTCAAGCGCCGGGCCCCATAGCTTCGGCCCCTCGTCCGGGTGATGGGCGCCCGGTGAGGCCGCACCGCCCGCCCAGCACCGCCGCCCGCCGCAGGATGGACGCGGACCGCGCGGCGCTGATCCTCGCGGCCACGCTCCCGAGCCGCCCGCCAACCCACCCGTCCTGCGCGCCGCAGCCGCAGCCCCGCGCCGCCCTCGGGGTGCCTTGTCAGTGCTGATCGCGGCCATCGTCCGGTCGTCCCAGCCCCCTCCTCGCTCGGCTCCGCGCGCGCTCGCTCGCCCGCCTTTCCCCGCGGACCCACCATGTCTGGCGGCGCCTCCGAAAAGCAGAGCAGCACACCGAGCTCCCTGTTCCTCTCCCCGCCGGCGCCGGGCTCCAGGAATGGCTCCAGCTCCGACTCCTCTGTGGGTGGAAAGCTGGGTGCCGCGGCGACCGACGCCGGCCCCGGCCGGACCGAGGAGTACCGGCGCCGCCGCCACACCATGGACAAGGACAGCCGCGGGGCGGCCGCCGCCACCACCACCACCACGGAGCACCGCTTCTTCCGCCGGAGCGTCATCTGTGACTCCAACGCCACCGCCCTGGAGCTGCCGGGACTCCCTCTCCCGGTCCCCCAGCCCGGCGCCTCCGTGACGGTTCCGCAGAGTGCTCCCGCGGAGCCCCACCGGGAGGAGACCTTGACTGCCGCTGTCGCCTCCCAGGTGGCCCAGCAGCCTCCGCCCGCCACCGCCCCTGGGGAGCAAGCCTCCGCGGGCCCTGCCACTGTGACGGTCCCAAGTACCACCAGCAAAGACCTTCCAGTCCCGCAGCACAGCCTTGTGGGGAGCAAAGAGGATCCGCAGCCCGCGAGAACTGGAAGTGGTAGTGGCGGAGGCGGCAGTGCCAAGGAGCCTCAGGAGGAGCGCGGCCAGCAACAGGATGATACAGAAGAGCTGGAGACCAAGGCCGTGGGCATGTCCAACGACGGCCGCTTTCTTAAGTTTGATATCGAAATTGGCAGGGGCTCCTTTAAGACAGTCTACAAGGGTCTGGACACAGAAACCACGGTGGAAGTTGCCTGGTGTGAGCTGCAGGTAAAAGCCCCACGTACTTTTCTGGTCGTTTGGAACTCGAATTTGGCTTGGTTAGGTCACCTTATCGAGTTCAGCCTTTACACATAATTCTCAAGCTGTTGGAGTTGGAGGGGTAGCCAGCTTTGGCAAGAGGTTGAAATTGGGAGAATGTGAAGTGTGTACTTAGGTGTTTGAGAAAAATAGAATTATTGGTGTCCAGAGGGATCTGCTACCAGGCAGGAGATGAAAGTCATCTAGTACAAACAGTCTCTCTCGTTTCTGATTGGGTGTCTGACAGGAATTAGTGTGCAAGTTTCTAAATAAGCAGAGTACAGACTCTTCTTTCCCTGTGAGTTTCAGTCTCATCAGCGCCTGTGCAATGAGCAGCTCCCTTTGTGTTAGGAACCTGCTTCCATCCAGGAAATCAGGCTGTTCTTTTAAAAGAAGAACAATTCTGGATTCATCTGCTCGATGACTGCGTGGACATTCTTGTATAAAATAAATATAAAAAGGCTCACCTCAGCCTCTTAGATCAATGCCTGGGGACTAGTATAGTACAGTACGTTTTTACTGTTCTGCTTAATGATGCTTAAAACCCATATGGTAGCTAGTTGTGAGCAGACTTCCTTTATTAAAACGAATGTCTCCAGTCCATTCACCCTACAGTGAATAGTACAAGAGCCCATGCAAAATTATTTAAGTGCTTTGAGAATTATGTTATCATCATTTTAATCTTGTTATAAAAGTTCTTTTGTTTTTGTGATACTGAGGATTGAATCCAGGGATGCTCTGCTGCTGAGCTACAACCCATAAATGCCCAGGCTGTTTTCAAACTTTAAATCCTTTTTCCTCAGCCTTCTGAGTAGCTGAGACTACAGGTGTACACCACCTTCCCTGGCTTGTAAAAGATTTTTAAACTTTACCAGGAGTCCAAAGAAGTCACAGTAACTTGTCTTTTAGATGGATTAAGGAAAGTTTTCATATTACAAATAATGGCATGTCATTCTGATGGATATAGTTTACATTAAACAGCTAAGTTTATGCTACTTGTTGCTGGAGCTACTTTAGCAGCTTGCTTGGCTGTTGCCTTACTGGGAAGCTAACATTTGTTGCTGGAAGCAGAATTTTACTGAAGGGAAAATACCAGCTACATTATACATGGAAAAATGCAATTATCTCTTCTTAATAAGAAAATGGACCAAGCTAAATAGGATAGGAAAGTAAGTGAGTGACCTTGAAACTTAACTTTATCCATGAACCAATCAACATATGGGACACAGCACTTTGAATGGCAGTTTCCAATAACCAGGGCATATCAGATGTGGAAGGAAGAGTTAACACAGCATGTGGAAGTAAACTTAAATGCTGACAAGTTTTTTGGAACATAATTTCTTAAGTTCTGTACTTCATATGGAACTTCTAAGGCAGCATGAAGTATCAGCTACTCATTTTATAGTGGTTTAGAATTTAGAGTGGTTTAGAGTTGGAAGATGACAATCTTTTTAAAAAATGGTCAAACTATAACTATGTTTATCAGCCAGTTATACTCAAAAAGTCATACTCACGCCAAAATACCTTTTGTTGTACAGGTAAAATTTTACAGGCAAACTTTTTATTTGGTACCAAGTTTTGCCTATTAATTTTTTTTTTAAAGTTTCAATTTTTTTTTAAAGTTTCAAATTTGAATAGGTTCTTTTTAATCATTTTTTTCTTATTTTTAAACACTAGACCCATTTAAATGTTGAACATTTTATGGATTAATTTTATTTCAGTTATTTCATTTTTTAATCCTTAGGATGTAATTAGTGTGTTTTGCCCTTATCACTTGGGATTTTTCTGACAGCTTACTATGAAACCAATAATATAATACAGAGAACAGAGAACTCAATTTGTCAGAATAAATGCTTTATTTAAACTTCTCAGTTTATCTTAGATATAGGCATTATCAAACTAAGGAAAACATATTTTTAAGCCAGCTCAAGATTTGGCTGTAATACCAAATGGTCCTAGCTCACTGAGTGGTGCTGTGGCTCAGAAACTTGCGTATCATCTGTCCATGCTTCTGCAGTTTTTCATTTTGGCTTTAAAAAGAGTAATTATTCTACCCCAGGTGTTGCATATTATTTTTGGTATTTTATTTGTTTGTTTGTTTGGCTTTTTGAGACAGGGTTTCACTGTGCAATTCAACTTGAAGCAGTCCTTCTGTTTGAGCCTTCTGAGTGCTGGGGTTATAGGCATGCATCACCATGCCTGGCTTATATTTTTGGTTTTTGCCAGGATGCTTGAAGTACATGCCTACTAATGTGTCAGTAGGTCAGTGTTTGGACTTTTGTCTTCCAGATATATATTCAAGGACAATCTAAAGGATTACTAAAGCTTTGAGAAGAAAACATTTTAACATTTTACATGTATACTTTTGTTTTTTGTATTTTTGAGACAGGGTCTCAACTATGCAGTTCAGGTTGGTCTTGAATTCACTGTGTGGCCCGGGCTGGCCTTGAATTTCCGGTAATCCTCCTGTTTCAGCCTCTGAGGGCTGGGATTACAGGTGTGCACCAACACACCTGGCATTAATGCATACTTTTAATAAACATACCTTTCTGCAGCATGACAGTAGAAATATTGTGTTCACTTGTTGAGTTAAAAATCTCAGTGTATTGAAACTGGGGGAAAAAATCTAGGCTATCCTGACTATTTATTTGGTCAGTGAGGAACCTGAAATTACAGAACATATAAGAAATTTGTTTAGATTGATAAAGACCAAAATAAAACTAGTTAGGATCTAATAACTTGGAGACTGTGTCTGTAATCCAGTAGATGGTTAATTAGTAATTTGAAAGGAAACAGTACTATACTGGTGTGAAAGTGTCTGTCAGATTTCTGGAGAAATCTAGTCTGTAATGGCACCTTTAAGTTAATGAGGATGGCACATTTCAGGTCTCTATTTTGGGTATTGATTTTATCACCTCAAATGCAATTATAAATAGACTGGGGAATGAGTGCGAGTAGGAGAGTAGTAGACACATTAAACTACTTCTTTTTTTGGTCTTTTTGAGACAGTGTCTCTCGCTATGCAGTTTTCAGGCTTGTCTTGAGCTCACTTTGTAGTCCATGCTGGTCTTGAACTCACAATGATCCTTCCTGCCTCAGCTTCCCAAGTGCTGGGGTTACAGGCTGTGCCACCAAGCCAAGTTTAAACTACTTTCTCCTCCTCTTTTCTCTTTGTTTTTGTTTTTGCAGGGATAGAGTCTTCTGTAGCTTACACTTACTATATACATAGTCCAGGCTGGCCTGAAACTCATAGCAATCCTGCCTCAGCCTGTTAAGCACTGTGCTACCATGCCCCTAACGCAAATCAAATTACTTTCTGTAAAGTTTATTTTGATTTACAGTATAGATAGCAATCTAGTAAAATATAAATTGTGTACTAGATAATACTTTGATACCAGGGTCTTAACTGAGATGTTTAATTAAGATTTCTTTACCTGAATTCATTAGATAAGTGGTATGCCTAATACTAAGTTGCTTTGGTTAGAAAATGTTACTGCATGGCTATACCTTTAGGGTTTACAGGGATATTTTTTTTTTTTAAATATGGCATGATTTTCTTTAAAAAAATTATACACAGATTTAGTACTTTAAAATCTGTTTAAAGTACTGTTTAATCTGTTTATTTACTTTACTTCCTCTCCAGGGCCAGGAAAATAGCTCATCTGCACAGTGCCTGCCTGGCAAGCACAAGGTCCTGAGTTCAATTCTGAGTATAATAAACAAAACTTAAATACTACCCCTCTAGGTTGCCTCTAAAGTGAGAATTCATTATATGCATTATATATTGATGAGATTGTTTTGTGATATATCTAAAAGGGGAAACCAAATCCTAATTTTTGTTCCAGTGGTTGCTTTTGTCTCTGGCTTTTGCTAAGTTAAGCCTTACTTCTCTTGAAAGAGTGTAGCAAGGCTGCAGAAATGGGATGTGGTTCTGTGACTCAGAAGCTATAATTTCTTTGCTGTAGTTCTTAAAATAACTCATTGAGCTGAATCTCCCCATTTGTTCATTAAAGATTTTCCCCTTTTATCTTTTTCATTTGTGCTATATTCTTTACTTTTTAGGGTAAGGATCTATTAACTTTCAGTCCCAGGAACTAGATTTTAGGGAATAGTCTTTAGGATGTTTTAAAATTTTTTAGGAGTTCCTAATTAGGAATATAAGTAAAATACAGAGCATACTTTTACTTTTTAGGTTGGGGTAGCTGCTTTGTAAATTAAGGAATGAGTGGTAATTTGTTTAAAATAATGTTTTGCCCCTTTTAAACAGAATAGAATGTAATAGAAGACAAAATGATTTTGGCTAGGTAAGATTGTATGTAAAGTACATGTAGATTTGTTTCTATAGGAAAGATCTTGTGCAGGAATTGAAAATTACATTTCATTTTCTATTCTTTTTGTGCAAAAGTACTGAGGATTGAATCCAGGGCCTTCACACTAAGCTATATCCCCATCACTCTAAATTTTGAGAAAAAGTCACCTTCAGTCTGTAGATTGTCCAGGCTGTGATTGAACTTGAGGTTCCCTTTGTTCAGCCTCGCACAGTGCTGGGAATATAGCTCTGTGCCACCATGTATGTCCACCCTAGGTTGATTGTTTTAAAATGATGTAGTTTCTTAGTCTTAAGACTTTAAATGTTTTCATTTTTTATTATTTACCTTTTTTACTGACTCAAAGTAATATAGTTGTTCCTAGTCAGAGAACTAGAAAGAAGAGATTGTTCCATGTAAAAACATATTGGCAATATAATATTTCCTGGTGACTTGAGTTAACTTTTTGACATTAAAATTCAAGTGCAGGAACCTGTTCTCTTGAATTCATTGTAGCTTATCCCTGTTATCCCTATATAAACAGTCAACTAAAACTGGGTTCTCATTATAAATTACCCTATACCTGTTACTTGGGTGTTCGAGTAACTTTTAATTTTTTTTAAATAAAACCATAGGGGGGCTGCCCCTTAGCTCAGTTCTTTA